CTATTAGTTCCTCCCTGTTTGTGAGCAGAAGGTCAAGCTGCACACGGCCCCTGGTCGGATCCTTCAGCACTTGTGTCAAGAAGTTATCCCCAACATTCTCCAAAAACTTCCTGAATTGCCTGTGTACTGCCATATTGGTTTTCCAACAGACGTCAGGGTGATTAAAGTCCTCCATGAGAACCAGGGCCTGCGATCTGGAAGCTTCTCTTGGTTGTCCCAAGAAAGCCTCATCTACCTCATCCACCTGATTCGGTGGCCTGTAGCAGACACCAACCACAACATCACTGCTGTTGTTTGCTCCTTTAAACTTAACCCATAGACTCTCAACAGGTTTTTCTCCCTCTTTATACTGGAGTTCAGAGCAATCGTAGTGCTCTCTTGTATATAGTGCAACTCCTCCTCCTTTTCTCCCCTGCCTGTTCTTCCTGAACAGTCTATACCCTTCCATGACAGCGCTCCAGTCATGCGAGTCATCCCACCAAGTCTCTGTTACCCCAATTAAATCATATTTCTTGGACTGGGCCAGGGCCTCCAGTTCTTCCTGTTTGTTGCCAAGGCTTCTCGCGTTAGTGTACAAACACTTCAGGTAACCAGTTGATCGTCCTATCTTCTCCATTTGAAACAGGGGTCCTTCTTTCTTGCTCGTTCCTCTCTGCATTTCTTCCCGGTATCCGACTTTCCCACTCCCTTTAGGGTTTTTGTCACCGTCCCCCGACGAACCTAGTTTAAAGCCCTCCTCACTAGATTTGCAAGCCTGCTCGCAAAGATGCTCCTTCCTCTCTTGGTTAGGTGGATCCCATCTCTTCCTAGCAATCCTTGTTCCCGGAACAGAGTTCCATGGTCGAAGAAACCAAAGCCCTCTCTGCGACAGCACCTGCACAATCATGCAGTTACTTCCTCAATTCGACAATCCCTGCCCAGTTCTTTCCCTTCAACAGGGAGTGTGGGGTCTGAGAAGCAGTTTGGATGAAAGATGGGGTTATTATATGGGGCACAGCTTGGGGTGCAGGATCCAGGAGGGGATATGGGTTCAAGAGAGGATTCTGGCCTGAGGGAGGGGTGTGGGGTCTGGGAGGGAGTTGTGATCTGGAGGGAGGTGGGGAGAGGGGATACAGAGATTTGAGTGGTAGCCTGGGGCAGGTAGTTTGAGGGGAAAAAGGGGGTGGAGTGTCAGAGGCAGGCTGTGGTTGGGAGGTGCTTACCTAGGTGGCTCCCAGTCAGCAGTTCGGCACAAACCTGAGACAGGCTCCCTACCTGTAAGGGGAGGGGGGCAATCCTGCTCCAGTACAAACAGGGAGTAAGGAGGCTTCATTCGCTGCCCCTGCCTTCAGCAAAATGTCTCAGCTCCTATTGGCTGGAAACTGGCCAATGGGAGCTTGGGGATTTGGTTAGAGAGCAGGGACAGCATGCAAAGCTTTTTCCTCCTTGCCCAGCTTGCAGAGCAATTAGCAACTTGCTGTTTAAAGTGGCTGCAGCTGCTTTGTAGTAAGGGTACCCATGAGGTAGCTGCTGCTTGCCCACCCTGATCTAGATGGTACTTGGTCCTGCTGTAAATGCAGGAGACTGGACTCAATGAGCTCTTGATGTCTCTTCAAGTTCTAGGATTCTTTTCTAATGCTCCTGCTTAAACCACTAAATACACTGTGTCCTTCTGATACTTCAAATCTGTTTAATCTTTGCTTGGTCACACACAGGAGCAGTTAAAGAAGAATAAGTCATTTTGTCGGTTTAAGAAGCTTCAAGAGTCTCGACCTGAATTCCTAGGATGGCAGCTGGAGGATCTGCTCCCTCTGCCACTGCAGAGGCTCCATGAGTAAGGAAACAGCCTTGAGCCATCAGATGTCAGCTTAGCACTAAGTGCTGGGAATCTGAGATGAAGAGAGGAGAACCCATGAAACTGTAGTCTGTTGCTGGTGGACAGGTGGAGTGGCTGTAATGTTCCCAGCTCAGAACATTCCATCGCACCCCTCCAAGATGTGTGTGGGTATTGCGGAGATGCAGGGAGATAGGTAGCTGTCTATAGTCTCTCCATATTGTGGAAAGATTCAGTGGCATAGGCTCTTGGAGGGCGTTTCTCCCTGAGCAATTCCCAGAGAGTGGTGCCTTGCCAAGGAGTCTTTCATGTGGGAGTCTGCAGGATTCCGTCACTGAGTATTATTGGTTGCTGTGACTGCTGACTCTAATCTAATTCAGGTTTGAGAGAATAAAGTCTCTGTTCAATATCTGAGAGACTGGGCAAGAAAAAAATGACTAAAGTTTAGTCCTCACCAAGCAAGAGTGGGTTTCTGTCTCTGGGGTATCCTGTATCTCCCCTCTTGATCCTGCATGATTTTAGGAAGAGGTGGAGGCACAAGACTACCATAGAAACTTCTGTAGTTGATCAGAGGAATATCTGCCACAGTAATTCAGGTCTGTTCTGCTAGGGCTAACCTTGAAGAGCAGCCATCCTGCTGGCTGGGCAGAGGGCTGCCTGCAGGTGTTGGTTGGAGGCTAATTTAGCTTGGGGCAGCAATGGGGAGATCCAAAGTAGGCTCTTTGCTAAGATTCCAGTTTGAGAAGTACATTATAGTTAAGCCTATGTTTTAGACACAGGCATTTTTAGTAAAAATCGTGGACCAATCATGGGTAGAGAACAAAATTCACAGTCTGTGACCTGCTGTGGTGGAATTCCCCCCACAGGTCCCTTGGTCTGGGACACCTTCTGGTCCACGAATCAGCCAGAGATGCTTCTGGTGCGGTCACCCATGCTTTTATTGTTAGTTCCCACCACCTTCTATGTACAAAGCTTACAGTCAATTCAGCCAGCTCCTCTGTCTGCCTGGGAGCACACTCAACCACACCCTGGCTCCTTGCCCCTCCTGGCTTCTTTCCTCTGCCTTATATAGCCCTCTCCCAGTGAGGCCCACAGCTGCTTCTAATAGCCCTTCAGGCCTGGGCTTGCTCAGCTGTTTCCCCTCAGCCTCTTTAGCCAGGCTACAGTGGCAGAGCTCTGGTTTAGCCAGCAGTCTGTCGCACCAGTTCATGACTTTTACTATATACTTCTGACTAAAACTTAGAGGGAATGGCACGCCAGGAGTGCCCCAGATGCTCAGGTGGCCCCGGGGTGCTGCAGGTGCTTCGAGGGGAGGGGTTAAACTCCCTATCCCACTCCGGGAAAGTGGGGACTTCCAGCTCCTAGCTCAGGTGGGGAATAATTTTTAATGGGGGAGGGCACTCCAAGAATTTGGTAAGTGGTCAAGGGCTGCATTCTTCTATTATATTAAGGGAGGAGTTGCAGGGTCTGTGATGGAGGCTGGGTGCAGAAAGGATGGTGGGGAAAGGGATTGGGGTACAAGAAAAAGTATGGGGTCTGGGAGAAAGTTAGGTAAAGGAGGGGGTCATGATCTGGGGCACGAGACTGGGGTGCAGGTGGAGATGCAGGGTCCAGGAGGGGGTATGGGTACAGAAGAGAATTCTGACCTGGAGGAGGGATGTAGGAGGGGGTTTAGGTTCTGGGAAAGGGTATGGGTGCAGGAGCAGGGGTGCAGAGGGTTTGGGTTATGTAGGTTAGGGGTAAGGGAGGGGAGGCAGAGGGTTGGGGGAAACAGCAGCTGGTGTGTCAGAGGCAGGCTCTGGCAGGGAGGTGCTTTCCTGGGTGGCTCCCATACAGCAACCCTGTCCGGCAGGTTTCTCAGCGAGGGACCATGTGTACTGCTGCGAATGCTGTGAGCCTAGGGGGAAGGGGAGAGAAGTGCTTTGTGTGCTGCCTTTCTTGTAAATAGGCAGCTCCTGTTGGCCAGAAATCAGCCAATGGGAGCTGCAAGATTGTGCTGGGGGATGGGAACTGTGTGAAGCCTCTCCTGCCCTTTCACCTCCCCCAACTGGCAGAAAGCTGCTCTGAGCAGTGTGCAGGGGCAGGGCAGTCAGGGAAGCTGCTCCACCTGCAGACTGTATCACTGATCATTATTAGGGTAATTTATATGCTTGTTACGCATGTGTGTCAAATCCCCTTTTTAATCTTTTCAAGTTCCTGGCTTATATGGTCAGGAGAACAGTGTGGTTTGTGGGAGAAGGTGGAACTGATTCTGTCATGTGGGAGGGAAAGTGCTTCAAGACTGACTGATTAGTCTTCCCTTTCTAAGGGTTGGATCTTTCTCATCCCTTGTACTATCAACAATAGGAAATACTGCTGATGACTATACATGAAATGTGACTGCACCTTTACCTTGTCTGTCTTAGATACAAGTACTTGTTCAGAGACCTGATGGAGAACACCAGCCCGGATTGTGCGGAGTTCCAGCACCTTGCAAGTATGGATGTGCCTGTAGTTTCCAACACCTCATTCCAGATTATTCCCTTTGCTAACAGCAATCAGATTTTAATAATTTCTGTGACCTTTAATCCTTTCCTGTGCTAAGACGTAATCATTTCTTTCTCTTTCCGTCTCTAATAGATTTCTTTCTTTTTTCTTCTCTTCCCTCTCCGCCCCTTCCCCCTCCCTCCCCCCATCAATGTTAAAATCGGTGGTTATAACTTGTTTATGAAAGATTGAGTGGGCAAAAGAGGAGGATGAGGGGCACTCCATCAAATATGACATTACCTGTTTCCAAGTCACTAATAACAAAGAAGAAAATAATCTTGAATGCTTTATGGATCAAGGTCCATAACAGCTAATACCCCATTCTTGTACTTTATCTGATATCTTAGAATCATAGAACTGGAAAGGACCTGAGACCCCCCTCATGGCAGGACTAAGCACTGTCTGGTTTCTCCAATAGCTCATTTGTGTGTGGCATTAGATAGTTGTCTGGACAAGTTACAACATTCAGCTTATGGTAGTCCACGCAAAAGTGAATTTCTCCATCCAGTTTGGGAACTAGGACTACTGGAGAAGCCCATGAATTCTCCGAAGAGTGAATTACACCCATCTCCAGCATGTCCCTCTCTATAACCACCTTGGCTGAAGGAACCATTTGGTAGGGTTGGGCCCTGATTGGATCAGCAGCACCTGTGATAATGGAGCGAAATGCCTGTTCGGGCCATCCTGGGCTAGCTGAGAACATTGGAGTGAACCTGGTGCACAGCTTCACAATCTGTTGTTGCTGCTCATGGCTTAGGCTCATGGAGAGGGTTACCTCTTCTACTCCACCCTGGCCTTTCCTGGTATAGTAGGCTCTTTCAGGCCACTCCGCGTTCTTCTTCTCCTGGGTAGTAAACTGAAGAAGGCTGAAATCTAAGGAATAAAAGGACTTCAGAGAGTTAAGGTGGTATACCTTAGGCTTAAGGTCAGGATCAGGAAATGCTTTGAGGTAACTAACCGCACCTAGGAACTCTTGGACTGTGAAAGGTCCGTCCAAGGATGCTTCCATCTTATTGAGCTGAAGCAGCTTCAAGACCATGACTACCATGAAGGACCACTGTCTGGCATACTTATCATACCAGGCCTCTTGCTGAGCATCCTGCAAGTTATTTTGTGCGAGAGTTAGAGTGTCTCTAATGGTATTTCGTAGGTTGTGCACAGAATCCAAAATTATGGACCCTGGAGGAGGGGTAGCCATCTCCTATTGCTGCTTTACTAACTGCAAGTTAGTTCATACCAACTTCATGACCATACATCAGTTCAAAGGGTGAGAATCCTAAACTAGGATGTGGAACATCTCTGTAGGCAAACAGTAACTGCTGCAAAACGAGGTTCCGGTCTTTGGAACATTTGTTCACAAATTTGTGTATCATGGCTTGCAAAGTCCCATTAAATCTTTTTACCAGACCATTTGTTTGGTGGTGCTAGGGGGTAGCAACTAGGTGTTTCACCTCATGAACTTCTGAGAGGCGTTTCATGGCCTCTGCCGGGAAATTAGTTCCTGAATCCATGAGTATCTCTGAGGGCCAACCTACCCTGGTAAAGATATCTGTTAGTGCCTGACACACGTTCCTGGCCATAGTGCTCCCTAGAGCCACTGCTTCAGGCCATCGGGTGGCGAAATTCACAAGGGTCAATATGAACTGTTTCCTTCTGGAGGTCTTTTTAGGGAAAGGACCCATAATATCCACAGCTACATGCTGGAATGGGACCTCTATTATGGGTAGGGGCTGGAGAGGTACCTTGACTTGGTCTTTGGGCTTCTCACACCTCACAAGTCTGGACATAGCCAGACACCTCCTTGCCCATTCCCTCCCAGTACAATGACCTTATCAACCGGTCTTTGGTTCTTTTCACCCCAGCATGGTCACTAGGGTCATCGTGGGCTAAGCTCAAGAGCTTTTCCTGGTACTTAGTCAGAACTACCAACTGTCTCTAAATCTACCCCATTTCCACTAGCGTTCACTATGTTAGGCATTCCGTCACCATCCATCTTCTTGATGAAAACCGAAACAAAAAAGTCATTAAGCACCTCTGCTATTTCCAAGTTTTCTGGTATTGTTTCTTCCTCTTTGCTGAGCAATGGGCCTACCCTGTCCTTGGTCTTCCTCTTGCTCCTAATATACTTGTCTAACATCTTCTTGTTCCCTTTATGCCCCTAGCTAGATTCACCTGACCAAGGGGTGGAGGAGGAACTTCTGAGCTGAGAGGATAGGAGGAAATGGGACTGCGAAGGGGGTGGCTGGGACTAGTGCATTGGCCCTAGGACTGTGGGAGAAAGTAAGGAACAGTCTCATTGGTGCATAAGGAGGAGGTCATATTTTTCCCTAATCTATAATATATGGTTGGGGGAAATGCGATCACAGGGTACTTCAGTTGGAATGCCATGCAGGAGGTCTCATGTTGCTAGTTCTAAAACAGCCCTGGAATTTCTAAATATTACAGATGATTTTTCCTAACTCAAAACATGTTTTAGCCAACAAGTGGAATTCTGTATTGGATCTTGTCATATCAAATAAAGAAGAATTGATCACAAAACAAAAATATAAATTAGGTACAAGTGGTATAATTTGATCACATTTATAATATACAAGCAGAATAAAGTCCAGATCAGTTTCTACTCTCTCTGCTTTAATAGGGTAATTATAGGCCTGTCAGCCTGGCATTTTGATCCCAGGCAAGATAATGAAACAACTGATATCGGACTCAATAAAGAAGTAAAGGAGGGTAATATAATAAATGTAATCAGCATAGGTTTATAGAAAATAGATTTTGTCAAAACTAACTTGATATCATTTGTATAAGATTAGAAGTTTAGTTAAAGAAGAAAGTATTAATATAATATACTTAGATTTCTGTAAGGTGTTTGAGTTCCTATTGTAATATATTTTGATTAAAAACCCAGAACAATATACAGTTTGATACTGCATATATTTAGTGGATTAAAAACTGATCTTAAAATGTAATTGTAAATGGGTATTTGTTTCCAGTGAGGTATTGCGGGCAACAGTTCTTGGCCCTATGCTATTTAACATATTAATGGTGTATAAGAACACAAAATAATTGCTGATAAAGTTTGCAGATAGAACAAAAATTGGGATAGTGATAAATAATCATGAGTTCACTGACTCAGAGCGATCCCTTGGTAAACTTGCCATGAGCAAACAATATGGCTAAATGTAAACATATACATCTAGGAGAAAAGAATGTAGGATTCTATCCTTGATAGCAGTGACTATGAAAAAGATTTGGGGGTCTTGGTGGATAACCAGATGAACATGAGCTCCCAAAGGTCCAAAAGCGCTAATGTGACACTGGGATCAAGGAGGACTAGAGACAGTGCCGGATTTATGCACAAGATAAGTAAAATACATCTTAGGGACTCAGATTATGGATGTTTTTACACAGCAAAGAGTTTGAGGCTCCAGAGCATTACCAAAAAAAAAAATCTTTTTTTTTAGTAATTTGTATTTAGAAGCCCCTCATAGGCTATGTCTACACTGCACAGTTATATTGGAATAATTGCAATTCCATTATTTTGAAATAGTTTCAAAATAGCGGACGGCTTATTCAGACTTCTGTAAACCTCATTCTACGAAGAATAACACCTATTCTGAAATAGCTATTTCAAAATAAGGCGTGTGTAGATGCTCCACTTCTCCTATTTCAAAATAGCTCCTCACCAGGGCCGTTCTAAGTTATTCCTCCCGGGGCTCTAAATTGAGATAACACCTCTACATTAGGGAAATCTGTCTCGGTCTAATTTTGAGGCTTCCCTGCAGTGTAGACATGCTATTTTGAAATAAGCTATTTCAGAATAACTATTCTGGAATAGCTTATTCCAAAATAAATATGCAGTGTAGACATAGCCTATGAGGGGCCTCTAAATACAAATTACTAAAAAATAAATAATTTTTTTTTTTGGTAATGCTCTGGGGCCTCTTAAACTTGACATAGTTTAGGGCCTCAGCGTGTCTTTCTCTAGTCAGGGCTAGAGATTAGCCATTTTACCTTCCCAAATAGGCCACAAACCAGTCACATCGAGCGCTTCAGCTGCCAGTCTGGCCAGCCAGAAGCCTCACAAGCAAAACCCCTCTGACACTCCAGCTCTTCCTGTGCCCCGGTCAGCCCCTGGCCTCACACACAGGTGAGGGGTTATAGAACCCAATCTCACCTACCCCGAACGGGTTCTTCCACTCCCAAGAAATCAGCCACAGTTCCCAGGTCAATTTACACTCTGGATCTTACCCACAAGATCACGGTGAGCCAGTCCTTTAGAATCTAAAATCTAAGGATATGTCTAGACTATATCCCTCTGTCGCCAGAGGGATATAAATTAGACATACCGACATTGCAAATGAAGCGGGGATTTAAATATCCCGTGCTTCATTTGAATAAAAATGTCTGCCGCATTTTGCCAAGTCAGCACTTTGTCTGCAAAATGTGGCTGTCAGGACTTTTAACAATGAGTAATTAATCATAGAAACAATTTACCAAGGGTCATAGTGGATTCTCTATTACTGATGATTTTTAAACCTAGATCAGATATTTGTATTAAAAATGTGTCTAGGAATTATTTTAGGAATGTTCTATGGCCTCTGCTACACAGGAAGTCAGACTAGATGATCACAGTAGTCCCTTCTGGTCTGAGAATCTAGTCGTCTTCTTCAAGTAATGGTCCTGTGTGCAGTTTTCCCTCTAATTTTTTCCTTTCCTGGATGGAATACATCTTGTTATGTGCACCAAGGCATATGTGGCTGTGCACTTGCAGTAGAAACACATGCTGCCGGCTGTAAGTGCTCTGCTAATCAGCTGAGCAGCACCTGAATTTCTCCTGAGTGGAGCAGCAACTGGTGTGATTGGCTTCAGAGCCACCAAAGCTGGCTGCAGGGCCACTTTAGCAGAGGCAGGAGCCAGTATAACTGTCCACGGGGCCAGCTGAGCAACTGG